CCACCTGGGGAAGGCAATCAGGGCGGGATTCAAAAATCACCAGCAAGACCCCAATAGGCACAGTCACTTGCTCAAGTTCCAAGTCCTTTGCTATTCTTGTCTTTCTAAGGACACGGCCAACGCTGTCTTGTGAGGACACAGCAATCTGACGCAATCCAATGGCCAAACTGTTCAGCTTGGAGGTTGACAGGCTGAGTCTCTTTAACAAAGGCAGAGCCAATCTCCCTGAAATGGAATCAGAAATGAGATCAGGCCCAGATCAGTTGCAACAGTTAATGGGATCTACAGGAAGGCAACCATGGGAAAGGTAAAATAAATAGCAGGGAAGAAATATTTCCTATTCCTGAAACAGTTACTCATTCCAAAGTGGAAGATGTCTTTTTCTTACTTTCAGTGGATAATACGAAGTGTACAAAAGAACAAAAGATAGTCAGGAAGAAAGGATAATTAGGTGTTAACCACACAGTCGTTAAACGCCATAGAAATGTGTATCACTGAGAATGTTCATGTCTGAAATATTACAAGTGACCAATTCCAATATGTCAGTGATCACATCTGCTGACATCAAAAGAGCCAATTCCTAATTTATGAAAAGCTTCCCCCCCTTCCAAAAAAAAAAGAATTAGGACTCCAAAGTTTAAAGGAAATTTGGTCAAATGTTTCTTGAATGCTTTCAGATTGCTTTATCAATCTCCACAGGGTGTGAAAACAAAAACAAATCAATCTCAAAAATGCCCTATCCTTGTGAAAAATCATTCCTATTCCATAAACAAGCTTCCTGAACTCTTTCCACAGTACCTTTATTTTCAGCCTCTTCCAAGTCCTTTTTGTTAGCCCGAAGAATCTCTTCCTTTTGGTCTGTCAGAAGATCAGCAAGGTGATAGATGATCTCAGCTCTCTGTAGTAAGAAGAACAGGGAGTCATCAGCCATGTTATTGCAGGTAGTTTTTGATAATTTATCTTTCTGTAGCTTGGATTTTGTCAAATCCAGTTCCCTTGGTCATTATTTGTGCAGACCACACACCCAGTGCTGCAAATGGTCAGACTCTATCTGTATCTAAATCTGAACTGTTATGTCACCCCCACCTGGTTCATGGGCTCAAGTAAAACTTCACTACCTTCTGCTTTTTCAGTGAAGAGCAACTGTTGCAAATAACCTGAAAGTGTGATTCCTGGGCTCTGCTATTACTTTGCTTTTCCTTAGATGGGGATACTTTAAGGTGTCATCAACAGCAGTCTCCATGGGAGGTACATAAAAAGGATCCAATTTCAACTGTTTGCAAATGTGTGCCCTCCAGATATATTTTCTACCATTTCCATCCATCAATGAATGAAGGACTGGGAATTACACACGATGTTCTCCAACACATCTGATAGCACTACCAGATTAGAGAAACCCACAGTACAAGAATGTAGGTACCTCAGTTTGTATAGTGAAAAATCCATATTAATCTTTCTGCAAGATTTATTCTTGTACACAGGTAGTCCTCAACTTGCAAACATCCAGCGACCGAACTTACAACAGCACTGAAAAAGGGGACTTATGACCAGTTCTTGGGTTTACAACCAACGCAGCACCCCCATGGTCACATGATTAAAATTTAGGTGTGTGGCAACTGGCATGTCATTTATGACAGAGGTGGAGTCCCAGAGTCACATGATCATCACTTGCAACCTTCTCACATGGTTTACCACAAGCAAAATCCTTGGGGGAAGCTGGATTCCCTTAACAACTGCGTGATTCGCTTAACAACTATAGCAAAAAGTAAAACCGGGCATGTCTCACTTAATAACTGCCTTGCTTAAAATGGAAATTCTGGCTGCAACTGTGATCATTAATTGAGGACCATAGTAGTGCTATTGAGCCCCAAACACCTGTGGGAAGTTACAGTGTTTTGTATCACAACTGGAATAAACACCTGCTCAGGTTGCAGTGCTGCCAAACTTCTGCCTCCTGTTCGAGCCATTTCTGCCTGCTGTTCTACTGTTGGTCCTTTGAAAACCAAACAAAGAACATTATATAGTAAACACCGATCTTTACTTCCACCATGTACTAAAGGATATAATTTTAAAAAAATTAATCATATTTAATACTTATTATAAATTGGAAAATGTAAAGACCCAATTATCAAAACAAAACACCCAGCCCTAAACTAACCATCTCTAAAGAGGGCTCCATAACCAGCCTATCCCAGGGTCAACCGCCAGGACTTTTAATAGTTTCCTGAATGTCATAAGGGTGGGAGACGTTCACTCTGGCCTTTTGTCCTGGCAAACCAATCACATTCAATTCATACATTGCATTTGTTGTTGTTAGTTGTGAAGTTGTGTCTGACACATTGCGACCTCATGGACAACATTCTTCCAGGCCTTCCTGTCCTCTACCATCCCCTGGTAGGGATTTAAGCTCATGCTGACTGCTCCAGTGATTCCATCCAGCCATCTCATTCTCAGTCGTCCCCTTCTTCTTTTGCCCTCAATCTTTCACAGCATTAGGCTATTCTCCAGTGAGTCCTTCCTTCTCATTAGGTGGCCAAAGTATTTGAGTTTTCTCTTCAGAATTTGGCCTTCTAAAGAGCAGTCACGGTTGATCTCCTCTAGGACTGACCAGTCTGATTGCCTTGCAGTCCAAGGGACTTGCAGGAATCCTACATTGCATATTGTTCTTTAAATGTCTCACTCTTTCTTTTTTGAGAACCTATCACTTCTCTCCTATAACGTATTTCTTAACCTCCCCTTTTTCTTAGCAGATTCCCTCTTCTTTATATATTTATTTTCAACTTTGATCTTCATTCCTTCTCCTTCTATAAGCAAATCACCTCAAGGTACTTCTTTTATACTTTTAACTTACTTCTATTCACATCAGCACTGATTTATTCTTGACTCTATGATTTATTATTTTTTATACATACTGTGTAACTACTGTACTACATTCTCCTTTTATGTTACACCTGACATATCCAACTCTTGTTCGTATAACAAAGTGGACAGCAGCAACATAATCTGATGCATAGTCATCTTTGCTTCTTGCAGCATCTACCATTCACAAGAGTACATAAAATTCCAGAGTGAATAGAGCTAATATTTACCATATCTACTGTAATTATACAGTCTTTCAGGTTTTATCTTATGTCTTTAATTTAGATGGTTCACTGTGTATGTCTTAATAAACTTATGAGAGATGTGTTTTTGTTTTCACCCCCCTTCCTTTTTTGTGCATATAAAATTCAAAATTCTGAAAGTATCATAATCCCCCCCAATTCAATGGGTACCATACTCACATTCCAAAAGAAATCTCCCCCCTCCCCGCAAGACACATATTCATAATGCTTTTATTGCCAATAGAACTCTCATGGCTTTATGGCTTTCATGGTCAAAGGAACTTAAAAGCTGAAAATTGCCTTCCCAACATTTTTGGACTAGAACTTCTAGAAATACCAGCCCAGGGGGACAATTCTAGGAGTTGTGATTCAAAGTACCTAATCGACACCAGACAAGAGACATTTAACCTATTGTGTCCTAAAAGTTATATTCTTCAGTGCAATTCTTCTTTCTTTGCAGATGATAGTTGTGATAGTCCCAACTTACCTGCAGGTTTTACCTCGGAAAAAAATGTGCCAACTTTTTTCCCCTCCACAATATCTGTGATGACATGGCCAGAGATCTTGGGATGTGTCCCGTTAGCAATCACAACTGAAGTTCCTCCTTGGAGAGCCCATAGAGCAGCTTTAACCTGTAAAAAGTGAATGTTTAGGTATGTACAGTAACAACTATTTTAACCTTCTGGCAAGGATAACAAGGATGCATCATCCATCTGGTTATTTTTCTGTAAGATACAGAAATCAGAAACATATTTATATTTATTTCTATACAAACACATACATCTACATACAGTATATGGGTAGCATGTGGTTTTAGTCTCTTTCATGGACAAAAAAACAGAATGAAGACGTAAACTTTCAATTTGAAGAAATTATGAGATTTATACAAAAGCATCAACAGATGTTCCAAACTGCTATTTAAGTATCATCCTCCTTCCTTTAGTAAGATAATAAAATGAAACAGAAATGTATGAGAAATATAAAGAAAATTTGACCAACCTTGGCCTCCATGCCTCCCATCCCCACTCGAGATTTGTTTCCAAAAGTCACAGACTGCTGGTCTCCAGGATAAAATATATCTATGAGTTTTGCATCATCTGACCCTGGAGGACTATCAAAAAGTCCTGAAATAGAAGGATAGAAATGAATCTGTGCAAGAGCAATAGCAGAACCAGAATAAAGCTCATGAAGCTGCTATCACTCTTGTTTCCTTCCGAGAAATTTGTGTAATATGTGGCAATCTGAACATTGTACAGTCCAAAACCACTTCTCCCCACTCCCTTCCTGAACCAAGTCATTGCATGAACACATTATTAATATAATTAGGCAATGAAATATCTTTTACCTTCAACATCGGAAAGAACAATTAGCAGATCTGTCTTCATTTCCACAGCTAGCCGTGCGGCTAAACTATCATTGTCCTTCACACTAATTACCTAGAACCCAAATTTTTAAAAAAGGTCAGTAAAACTAGCCACTATCTGTCTAATTAATTCCTAGCAATGCAAAGCAAAGCAAAGCGCTCTACTTGGGGCTGCCCCTGAAAAGTGTTCGGAGACTGCAATTAGTCCAGAATGCAGCCACGCGAGCGATTCTGGGTGTGCCAAGGTACACCCATATCACACCTATCCTCCGCGAGCTGCACTGGGTGCCCATTGGTCTCCGAGCACGATTCAAGGTGCTGGTCGTCACATTTAAAGCCCTACATGTCCTAGGACCCGGATATCTGCGAGACCATCTTCTGCCACATACCTCCCTCAGACCAATAAGATCGCA